AGGAGGGAGAATTTTCACTGTATACTATTCTATACCTTCAAATTTTGAACTTTGTGAATGTATTACCTTTCAAAAAAATACAATGAAAAATTTAAAATATTACAAACATTTCATGTTTATTGTGTGCATATATTTATATAAACATATAAAAATAAGATCTGGAATGATACATACCAAACACCAAGGAAGTGTTATGCTTTAGGATGGGAAAGTGAGAAGTAAGATGTATGCATGTAGTGGACATTTATTTTTTACCTTATATTGCTTGAATTTTAAGATGAGATTTTATAATTACAAAAATCAAGCACATATAAAAGGTCTTAAAGTATTGGTCTTTGCGCACTGGGCCAAGCGAGTAAGGCTTTTTCCAATTCAGCCATAAATGTATGAATGGTTCAGTCCTATTAACTTTGGTCTTGTCACATCATTCCCTTGCGTCTTTCTGATGGATTGAAATAATAAGACCATGCCCTTCAAGGACTTGCAGTGAAACAGTAAACTGATTTTCAGTTTTATAACCACCTCTGTGCAGAATACCAAAATTCCCCATATCAGAAGAGCTATCTGAGAGGCAAAGAGCATGAAAAGAAAGGCATGGAGAGCCACATGTACAACTGTCTCAAAAGATTAACTCACACTTCAAAAGTGTGTAGTCTTTGGAGCTACTGAAAAGAACTTAGGATTTAGAGTCTGAAGTCCTGTGTTTAATACCTGGCTATGTTATAGAGTAAGTATGTGGCTTTTGTTAATCAACTACCCCTGATAGTTTATCAGCTATCCTTATCCTATTATCTATCTCATAAAGTTATTGAGAAAATTAAATGAGATAATATATGTGAAAACTTGTTGTAAACTCTAAAATGCTGTGTAAATTATATCATCATCACCTTTGAGCACCCACAGTGGCAGAGATAATGACAATTGGCTAAAGTATTAAATAGCTTCCCCTACATTGTCATATAAAGGACATTCCCCCCTTTGCTTCCAGAATCATATGGCAACTTTAAAGGCATGCAACTTCCAGAAAGTCTTTGGTTCAAAATTCGGCATTTTTATGACTTGTTTGTGTGACTGCATGGGAAAATGCTAAGAATTAACATTTCATAATAATGTTAGAGAATATGTGATAATAGGAAAAGAAGTAGAAATTCGGCATTGAGCTTTGTCTTTTTGAACTCTTAGAAATAGATAAAAAGATAATATAAACACTGATTTTTTTTTTAATTTCAGTTATCTACCTCATACTCTACCATGCCATCTTTGTGTTCTTTGCCTGGACCTACTGGAAGTCTATCTTTACACTTCCACAGCAGCCAAACCAGAAGGTAAGAATATTGGTTACTTCTTAAAAGCTAAGAACAGAGGAAAGTAGAAATACCAATAAAGCAAGAAGAGGACAGTAAAAGGAGCAAATAACTTCTATTACAAAAGAATCATGGTAATCTTAAGGAAGGACTCTTATAGGTGAATTAAGGATAGGATAGGCTATTGAAGGAGTCTGTGAAATCATCAGCCCTGGATATCCTTAAGACTAGAAAACCACTACCTGCATTGGTAATATAATTAGAAAAACAAGAACCCACTTGGATTCTGGGACCTCATCTAGTTCAATTCTATAAAACTATTATTTTAGTACTCAGCAAGACTCTGAGAAAAAAATACAACAGTTAAATCAAACATTTTCAAACTGTTCTCTTGAATCGAAATGTTTCATGCAACATTTGGAAGGGTTTGTGAAAGAATTTGTTATCATATCAGGCATTTATAATGTGCA